TTATATTTAGAAGAACAAAGCGAGAGAAAATCGAACGCCTTTAAGATTCGAATTGTAATTTATCATAACAATAATTTCGGGTCAGTTAATAAATGAATTCTATGGACAAATATATTATGAAGTTTTAGATCATACAATTACAAGTATATAAAATATTGCTTAAACAAACCAGGAATGGATCGTTAAAATTATTTGTAAAGTTTATAAGAATAGGATTCTCATTTTAAATCAAAGCCCTTAGCATGAAGTTTGCAGAAGTACTAGCTTAGACCAATATATAATGATTGACTTATATATTTTAGCTTAATACTTCTAACTGTCGGTAAACATTATCAAAGCTTTTTTTAAAAAATAAGACTATGGGAAAACTTGAAGTCTTTATTTAAATGGAAAATATAGAATTATCAATATAGATATAAATATAATTAACTGAATATATGTATTCTTGTGATCTTAAAGGCGGCAGCTTAGTCACTGATTGGCATACACTTACCACATATATCTGGGTTTGAATGCAGCAAGGATCAATTATTTTTTCTCTAAAGCTAACTAGTTGGTATGTGTTTTCTAATCAATATTCTAAGCTCTTTCTTCAAGAATCTCATCTAAAATATACCGAATCTAGTTCGTTATTTTATGATTTTGTTTAAAGCCTAGGTTAATAGGGGAGTTTATTATTTAAAATGGCTACTAATAATTCATTTTTGCCCCATCACCACCAAAACGTCTTAACACGTAACATATCTGTCTATATAATTGTTGTGTACATGTCGAGAGAAGCGAATACTTAGGAAATTGGGCCAAGGTAGAATTCTTTGTTTAGATCGCCTGTAATCTGTCTTCTCTTTTTACCTATGATTTTTAAAAAATTAAGGACTTCATTTTGAACATGCCTAAGGTGTTGGTAATTGATATGAAGACTGTGTTTGTGAGGTCAGCCCTTTTTTAAGGATTTTACCTTTTCGATGACAGAGGTTTAATCTACATAAATGCAGTTGCAGGTCAGTGGAAGACAGTTCGTAGATTGGATAAAGGATATACAATCTGGGGTAGGACATTTTCATTTGAAAGGCCACCTGGTTCAAGAGTGGATAAAATATTAACTTTTTGAAAGCAGCTAGGAGAAGTTAATAGTTTTATAGCTGGGTTGACATCAGCTGGAGAACTTGCAGTGCAATGAATGACAGACATTCGATAAGATGGACTGACCATAGTCAACACAAATGGAGGTTACAAGTGAGTTACGGCCAAGGCAAAGAGCTATGGGTATGCGTAGTGTTCACCAGTCATGAGGCGACCGAGATTGGAACAGGGAATGGCTTCCAGCTATTTATAGCCAGATACTATAAAAAAACTTGATGATTAATTTTTATAAATATTTTTTTCAAATTAGTCATACGCAAAGATAAATTCAATTTATCACCTAAAAGTATCAAGTGAAATTCTACCTCGAATTTAATTTTAAAACGTATAATACTCATATTTAACCTCTATTAATAGGTTTCAACGTAGGTGTATATATTTTATATTAATTATAAAATATTAAATTTGGCATTTACATTGGGAACTCGAATTTTTATGAAATAATATAATATAATATTTTAAAATATATAAATTTACTAACATAACGGAAATAATTATTTTTTTATTTCCTATATAATAAATATGATTTATCTTTGAGAACTTCATTATCAAATATAATAATAAGCTAGGCTTTGGTAAAAATATGATTTTAAAAATGTATTTTTCCGAAAATTTTGATTGCACTAATCAAATAAGATAATGACCTGTCATATTTAAATTAGTGAATAGAATCTGAAGGTAAAGGATTAGATCGGGACAGATATGCGAATCGGTCTTTTTATGAATATTTTATTAAATGTCTATATATCCCAATATCGTTTCTTTTAAATTATTCAAAATTTCTAATTTATTTTGTTATTTCTTTTCTAGTGGAGTTATAGACATATCAATGAGGAAGGTTAGAAAGCCAACCCATCCCCCACCCTCCAATGGCATTTTTTTAAATCTGTTTTTTTATTTACTAAGCAAATTTTAGTTTATCATCGTTCTTTCCTATCAAATTTAAAATATCAAAAACTCCTATTTGTAAGATCTGAAAAAATTTTTTAAAAAAAATGTAAATATAGAACTCTCTCGGCAGACGAAATATATATTTTGATAGCTTTGAGTTGTTTGTTAAGTTATAAAAATAATGCTTATACGTTTTAGTATGTTGCATTATAAATAATTCATGTATAACGTCAACGGATCTAAAATATATCTTATATGTATTTTTATTTTCTTAATTCTATTCCCCCATTTATATTTTATGCCTAACCCTCCCCCTCGCATGACATCATTTAGCGCGATCGCTAAGACAATTTATCACGATAACAATTATGATTGACATTTTGCAAGACACTTTATCACCCGACATTCGGACACATTTTCAAAGAGCTTTTTCCTCTATAGATTTTAAAAACACTATGTTGCATCATAAATAATTCATGTATAACGTCAACATGATCTAAAATATTTCTTATTTATTTTTATTTTCTTAATTCTATTGCCCCATTTATTTTTTATCTCCTCCCCTCACATGACATTATTTAGCGCCATACTTTATCATGCTGACGCTTCATTGAGATGATGTTTTATTACGATGACATTTTGCAAGTCACTTAATCATGCGACATTCGTAACACATTTTCAAAGAGCTATTTTTTCCCTATAGATTTTTAAAAGATCATTCTTAATCGTTATATTGATCAAATTTCTAATATCTCTTTAAATTAGTTTAGATATAATGGAGACAAACTTAATTTAAAAATAATGAAATTTCTAAAAGATTCAAACCAGCTCACAAAATGAATGGCCCGAAATTTATTTTTGTCACGTGACATGTTTTAAAAAGTCTAATATTATCTAAATATATATTTGTTTCCTCAAATTTGTTTATTTTAAGAAAGGTGAAAATTTTGAGAGTTAGGCAAATATTCACAAAAATTGGGTCTAAATACAAGCCTTGTATACCGTCGGACCTAAAAAATATTTTTCTTTTTACAAATCCCTAGCTATTCTAATTAACTAAAAATGTTAAAAAGTAGAAATAAAATTAATTTATATATATTTTATAGTAATAAATAGGTCATGGCACACCAAGGCCATGCTAAAATTTTGGGCGACTTTAGGCGAAAATGTATTCCGAAGGTTAGAAACAATTTTTTTGCAGCTCATGAAATGGTTTAATTGCAGTGTTCTCAGGGACCGCTCCACTCCCGACCCCATTGGCGCGAGCCTGCTATACAAATAAATCGCATTACAATAAATCAATATTATATCATTTAATTGCTTGAAATACAATGGCGCTCGCTTTTGAATAGTAAACCTGAAATTTCATAGTTTAAAATACTAATATGGGCTCTAATTTTTTTATAGAGATTCGGTGCTGTTCCTGGAACTTTAAGATATAGCACCTTTTACATAAACATGACTCATTTTATTTTGTAATAATCTATATACACCACTGCTATTTACTCCATGTGCGATTTGAAGATGGATGACGCAAGTTAAAGATAAACTTCTTTTTTTTTATAAACCCACCAATCACAGGTTTTGTATATAAAAAAAATTTCGCAAGCAATTACCTTAACTCACAAAATTTTTGCCCGCTTTTCTAAGATTATAAAATTTGAGGGAATGAATATTATTTTCAATAAAAAATAAACAAATTTGAAAATCTGATTAAATGTCAACGCGATAAATTTTCGAGATAAAATGTCGTCGTGATAAAGCTTCGCGCTACAAAGTGGCATTGAATCTTTCCTCATTAGTTTTGTAAACGGAATAAATAATGTAAACAATTTAAATATTTTTATAACTGCCTCCACGACGCTTTTATCACGAAGATACTTCTCTAAGACGCCATTTTGTAACGCGACACTTTATCATAAGATATTTAGGCACATTTTCAATGCCGATTATTTTTATTTAAAATAATATTTGCTTCCTCAAATTTGCTTATCTGAGAAAGGGTAAAATTTTTATGAGTTTTGGTCAAAAAATTATACTTAACCTGGGATTACAGATTTTTTCAAAGATTTCTCAAATTATATTAATTAACTAAACCTTAAAAACTAAGATTAGTAATTAATCTAGTAAGAGGGCCATAAAATTTCAAAATTAACACTTTATTACGTGACATAAAATGACCAGGGGACTCGGAGTTTGATTCGGAAATGTGAGCTTCGATTCTTTGATATTCAATTGAAACGAATTTTGAATTAAATAAGGTACCGATAAGTTAAGACTACGCCTTAACAATCAACTAACAAATTATTCACACCGAATTTGTTAGAGCAGAAGAGGAGCAAATGTAGCAGTCTTATATGAATAAGCAAAATAAACCTTTAGTTTCTTCCCGCAATTTAAAATATTTTGACCCACATCGATCATGACCCATATCTCTAACCTTTTATGGACCTCTCCTAGGCTAATATATTGTCCGTGGTGTAAGATATAACCTGCTGCTCATTAGTTCAGTTCTAAGCCACAGCTGCTATAAATAAAATAGCGATTTTTTGGGTTATGACGTTCAATAAGCGTCCGTCCTAGTCGTAATTATTATAAATTTTTGGGAAAAACTGGCCTATCCTTCTATTTTGCGCAGCATTTTTGGAAAAAAATATTTTAAAAAAATAATATTCGCAGGAGCTCCCCCCCCCCCATCTCAAACCATATCTTAGGGCGTTAAAAGATTTATGAAATAATATTTTTATTATTTAAAAAAAAATATATACAGACTCATTAAAATATTCTTTATAATCTAAATATATATATATATCTATACTACTTATACATGGTGTCTCTAATTAAATAGTAAAATTGTATAAAAATCAATGAATAGAAAGTGATATGAATTTTATTATTTTTTTCAACATGATCTCATTAAGGCTTGAAAACATTTTTTATTTTCCCCGTGGAAAGTACAAAGTCTACTATAAATCTTTATCCGAAGGTACGACCATCAAAATTTTTTGTAAGAACATCTCCACTTTCCCTGATGGTTTTTAATAATATGATAACTAAAAATTGTTTAATAAAAAAAATATATAAACTTCCGATGGATACGCATTTGTTATTTTTTATCTTCGTTCGAAACGCGACATAAAATACCGGTATACCTAGAGGAATAAAATTATTTAATTTATTAAAACTCTTTACTGTGTTAAAAATAAAACTGGAAAGCCTGATATTTAAAAGAATATATATTTAATTGTGTTCACCCCCCCCCCCCCAAAGGAACTATAAAAAAAATTTGAATGTAGTCTTGTTAATTAAACAAACCCGATTTTCTTTATAACGGCCCGTTTAAGATTTTAGGCAAAATAATATCACGCAAGCTACAAGATTTGGAAGAGAAGGTCTAAACCTATCTGCCGTCTGAGCAAAGTTTCCAGGCTTGCATAATATTATTTTGGCGAAAATCGTAATCGGGTCGTTTAGCTACACTGCTTAAATGTTATTGGCGGAAAAATAAAATTGTTACAAAATCCTAGTTGTCAAGATATTTCTCTTAATCGTAATAATTATTTTGGCAAAAAAAAACTTGATAGAAGTTTGCAGAGTTGTTAAAAGATACTTTTTAAATGGATCTAGATATATATACATCGTCTAAAATAATATCTAGATACAGATATTTTAATCAAAAATCTATCTAGATACAGATACCACATTTTTATATCTAGATACAGGATCTAGATACAAGTATCTAGATCCTTTAACAACTCTGGAAGTTTGTATTTTTTTTTTACAATTTAACTGTATAAAATGAATAATTCCCAAAAAAATATTATATACGAAAAAACTTTGTTCTACCTGATAATACTATTGAGGTCCCTATAACCATTTCGATCGGATTATTTATAATGGGAACTATCACGAAAAAGAGGCAGATTACCAAAAACGTTATGTGTAGACCTATATTGAGCTTCAAATAAACAAGGGGTAATAAATATAATAAAAATTTTGATCGCTTAAGTGTACCCAATGATTTAAATATGTTTATAATGTAGATTATACTTCATACTTTAATTGGTCGAGGCATTTCCGGGTGTTTGATTCGTAAATATATTATGCACCCGATACATATTCCGACGAATAAAAAGAGCATAAAATTGAAGTAACCAATCAAAGTTGTTATATCGCGAGCGGTCAAAAACAGTAATGATATAATAGCCTTTATAGTATAATAGGGGAAAAAATAAGAAGAAATTAGTTTTTTTTAAAAAAAGCCCACAATAAAAACTATAGATTAAAATTTGATAGGCTACCCGACCCTTAAAAATTTCAAACCTGGGTCGGATCGTGAAATGAGTAGATCTAATTAATTCATGCATCTATTAATAGGTTATATTTCTGCATGTTATTTGCGAATTCGGGTTTAAAACCGGGACCGAACCCATCCGGCCGGAAATTTTTAATAGAAAATTATAGATTAAACGAGATTTTTTTTAAAAAAAAAAGGAAGTTAAGTGAAATAAATCCATAATTGCTTTTATCTTAATCCCAGCTGAGAAATTCAAATTCTGTTTTATTTTTTTTCAAAATTATTTAGAATTATATAGTTTTTTTCAGGGCTTTGCCAATACATATATTTTTCACCGATCCAATCCGATATTTTCAGAAATCGATTGAAAACCGATCCGATACCGATAATAATGATTTTTCACCACCACCCTTTGAACCGATTGTAATTATGAAATCAATATTTTTTGTACAAAAAATCGAATTATGCATTTAATTTAATTTTTTTTTATTTCTGCAATTAAGATAACAATTAAAAAAAATTATATTGTATAAAATAGATAAAAAAAAATATTATAATTATGTAAAATAAATATACATAACATAAAATAACAAAAAAAAAGAAAAGTAAAAAGATTGGATGAATCGGTTTTATCTGCCTAATCCTATATTTTTGGAAAAGGCTAAATATCTGTGCCGATCCGACATTAAAAATCGGCACGGCCCTAGTTTATTTCTTAATCTCCACCCTATCCGTTTTTTTTGTTGTTGTTAAAAATTTCAAGCTGTATCTAGTTTTGAACAATCGACTTAGAACGCTAAACTAAGGATTTCCAAACCCACACCGATCAGGTTTAAAAAAATAAGAAGGATACAATTCTATGGACACAAATTACAAACAAAATTAGTACACGAAGTTCTGTGATGGCTGCAGAGAGATAAGAGAAAAACATAAGGCACATACAAATCGTGTAGGCTGAATAAATCAATAAGAGACGTTTTGAGTCTAACTTCAACATAAATAGTCCATAATGCTGAACAATAACAAAAATTCTATCAAATATTTGCTTAAAACCAGGCGCGTAACCAATGGGGGGGAAAGGGAGAAATTTCCCCCCCCCCCATCGCAAATTTGACTATTTTCATAAATATCATTTTAAGCTAATAAAAATTTTACCCCCCCCAGCCCCCCCCCCACTAATCAAAATTTTACAAATATTTGAATATCAATTTTCCAACATATTATTCAAAAATATTAATAAAATGGAAAAATATTTAGTCAAAGAGATTGAAATCAAACGATAATTTATAAATAAGGCTGAGCATGAAAAAAAGTAATGTGTCGTTAGCAGCTATATCATTATTGAATTCAATTGATCAATCAGAGTTTATCATTGCTGCTAGTTGCATCAATAAATTATTTTTAGCTCACTACTTTGTAGAAAAAAACAAAAACCAAATTTAGATTTGGTTCAGGTTATTGATTTGGCGGAAAATATACATGAACAGGTAGATACAATAAGAATGAATGTAGATAAATATTTTCATAATATTTATCTAGACGTTGAATCGTAGGCTAAATTTTATGATATAATACTAATTAAATCTCGTCTAGCACCTAGGCCATTATTGAGATGAAAATAAATATTGGCTCAACTGAAGAATATTATAAAATATCCATTTTCATCCCATTCTTAGATACTTTTTTATCGCAAATAAAAGTACGGGTTTTAGATAAAATCAAGTCTTTAGCAATCTTCAAGTTTTATTACCCAAAGATCCTTCTTCATTTTCTAATGCCACTATTGGTAAAATTAAATATTTAGAAAAATTTTATTCCTATGAGATTGATACTGAAATAAATTTAATCAGTGAATTCGAATTGTGGTATAAATATTTATACGTTTAGCTATTTTACCTGAGCATGCTATTGATGCGCTCAATCGGTGTAAAGAAACCTTGGCTCAATTTCCTAATATTTCGAAGTTGTTTTATATTCTTGCATGTTTGCCTATTACAACATGTACGAATGAAAGGACTTTTTCCAACTTGAGAAGGTTGAAAACATATTTACGAAGTACTGAATCTCGGCTAAATGGGTTAGCTCTGTTAAATATACACAGAGATTTGGTTCCAACGACAAACGAAATAATTAAAAATCTTGTTTGATAAGAAGTTAAAAAAACTTGTTAATTTAATTATTTTCTAGTCAATATTTTAAACTACTATTAGTATTTTCAATAAAAAAATTATATTCTACTTATATTGTATGAGAATTTAAGTTGAGGCTAGTTTTTAAAGCAAATTTTATAAAAAAAATGACATTACACTTTATTTCAACTTTACATTTAAAAAAACCTTTACATTTAAAAAAACTTTATTAAATATAATATACCTAACTCGAAATAATAAAAAAGAGGCTTGTAATATCCTATCCATAAGCACGAATTAGTAAATAATAGTTAAAAATAGAATTATAATTATTATTAAATTATAAATAATTTAATAGAATAGCTAAATAAGACCCTGCCGAAGGCCAGGGGAAAGCTGGCCGAAGGCCAGGTAAAGGGAGTTTGAGGGCTTCGCCCCCAAAAAATTTTTCCCCCCCTTTAAGAAAATCCTGGATACGCCACTGCTTAAAACTAAAACACAAGTACGTAAATCAACAACCCCCCCCCCTCTCAATCCATAAGGTGCCAACTTTTAATCCTCACACATATAGTGTACACATTATTTACTTAGCACTTCTATATATCATATTAACAAGTCAACATAATATTAAAATTAAGATAGCCACTACCCCCTCCATAAATCAAAACTCTCTTTAATCGGGTACTGACTTGTTTCTACCTTCTTATTCTCACTTCAGCTTTTAAGTAAGGGGCTCTGCTCTTTGCGCTGCCCAAAATGGATGGGATTTGAGAGACTCCAAGCATAGCTCTGCTATTTCATTTAGCGAAAAGGGGGCTAGGCACTCACAATAACGTATATTATACAAATTATTATAAAACTGCATTTTTTTGAAACTCCTTTCGATATAACAAAATTCATTACCAATATTTTTATAAAATTTGATCAAAATTTTTTTTTAAATAAAAATTCGAAAATTATTTTTTAAAAATCTTTTATAATTCTTTGCAAAATTCACTTTTTTTTATATTTCCAATCACCCCAAACTCCAACATTCTTTCAAACACTCTTTTTAATTTATAAAAATGGTCTAACTTATCCTTACCAAAAATTAATAAATCATCTAAATAATAAATGACCCCCTTAATATCAGAAAATATTTCTTCCATAGTCTTCTGGAAATACGCAGTTGATACTGTAAGCCCAAAAGGTAGTCTATTAAATTGAAAAAGACCCTTGTGTGTGGAGACGGTCAAAAATTTAGAAGTTTCTTTAGATACAGGAATCTGCAGATACGCCGATGAGAAATCTATCTTTGAAAAAAACTTTCCATTACCTACTTTAGCAATTATGTCATTAATCCTTGGAAGCTGATATTCGAACCTTTCTAATTGTGGGTTTACAGTAACTCTAAAGTCAGCACAAACTCTCAACGTATTATCTTTTTTTTTAACTAACACTAATGGAGTGGCCCATTGTGAAAATCTGACAGGCTTAATTACTCCCTGCTGTCGCCATTGTTCTATAGTGTTTTATACGGTGTTAAAATGCTCGACTTTCGATATTTAAAAATGACCCGATTAAGATTTTAGACAAAATAATATTATGCAGGCCTCTAGATTTGGCTAATATAGGTCTAAACCTTTCTGCCATACATGAACACAATCTCCATGCTGACATAATGATAATATTATTTTGTCCAAATTGGGCTTTTCAAACAACATTATTTCCGTAAAAAAAAATCTTACAGTACGAAATTCAAAATTTTTTAAAATAAAAGAAAATTCAGGATTTTGTGGATTTTATTTTTCTTACAAACTTTTGAATGTTACAATGGCTAGAAGAATGAGAACAATAACGATTTATATGTCAGAAACCTGCAGGCCTGGGCCTAAGCCCGGCCCAGGTTAAGGGCCGGGCCGGATTTTAATTTAAAATATACCGGGGATGTATATGTTAAAACCAGATATTTGAAATCGTCATTATTAGCTATAAAAATCAAAAATAAATATAATATATTTTAAAAAAATCCGGGACGGGCCTGAAAATATAAAACCCGGCGGGGCTGGATTGTGCAAATGGTACCTCTGCAGGTCTCTGATATATATAGAATAAGATATCAAACTAAACTATTTGATATATTATGTATAAAGATTTTTTAAAAAAAATTATTTAAAGATAAATATATATGAGAGTAATAATAATTTATTCGAAACAAGACACTGCCTTTGGGCATATTTTTTTTTATGATTATTGAATATGAATATTTTATGACTAATTTATAGAATAAAATGTGAGTACATCAAAATATGTTTTGATGATGTCAAAAAATGTTTTGATGATGTCAAAAAAAATTCACAAAGAGGGACAAGGTTTAATAAACTGCTCAAAATCAAAAAATAAAAATAAGATGGAGATTTTTTTTTAAGAAAATTTGAAGTAGGATTTTACATCAAATATTCCCAAGAAATTAAATTGTATTTTTTTTTCAATAAATCTTTAATTTTTTCATGATTGGAATCACAAATTATTTATATTAAAAAATTTTTCAATTTTGATATTCAAAAAATCTTCAAATGATCAAACCTGGGGGAAATAAAATGCCAGCTGCCATAACTATTAATCATAACTATAAAGAAAATATTGGGGTGGGGGGGGGGGGGTTATGATTCAAAAAGAACAAATAGCTTTTCAACATTTTCAGCGGACAATCTGCTCATTTGGCAGCTCTTGGGTGAAAACGGCTATATATTTGTTATTCTCCCAAGCGAAAGATTTAAACCCCCCCCCCACCCCCGCCTCCCCATATTCCAGTATCTAAAAGCTACTTTCTTAGTCTTTCTTAAGGGCCAGGATCTCATTCATACATTTTTTAAAAATATAATTTAATATATTTTTTTTTCTTTTACTCACTAATAATATAATAGATGGAACGGGAGTGCAACGTTTTATATGGATCATCGCGAATATTTTCGGAAGTTGATTATTCCTTGCCCCGGAATAAACTATCCTGTTTTATTCAAAAATGATGTAACGAATAGTAATAATTTTAAAAAAAAAAACCTGCCCGAGGTAAATAAAATTGCGTTAACGCTTCCCAATGCCGATAAAGAAACAAAAATTGGCAATAACCACGAAATGTTTGGGAATATGGCGTGCACGTAATCCTAAGGAAGAAAAAAAAATTATTATATAAATAAATGTGATGATAATTTTTTTTTTGTGATGATTTGTAATAATATCCAATTTTTGAGAATTAATTTGAAAAATATACTTTTAAACATTTTTATAATTTGGAATATGTGGTAAGTTTTTATGGGATACCCACTTATCCAGAATTCCTCGCGTTAGGGATTCGTAATCTCTCAACTCTGAAACATTTAGCGTACTTATATTTTACTTATAATTATATTATATTGTGTTTGTAACTAGCGCTTAGTGAAATTTTTCAAAAATTTATTATTGTTCATTTCATAATCGATTGCTCAGCTGTTTTTAGTCCAGGAATTCAAGGACCATGATAACTTAAACCAATCTTGTTCCGGAAGTTATTTCTAAGTTGGGTTGGTAAAGAGTTCATTTATGAAATACGGTTTTCATCTAATATCTTTTTATTTCTAAAAAAGAAATCTTATTTTAGAAAAATTCCTCCATTTTGAAGGATGTGTGAAGATTCATAAAAAATGTTTAAATAAATGAGACACATTTTTCAAAAGATGTCTAAAATTATAATTTAAAAAAATTAAAAATTGGTCTTTTTCGTCTTTGACATATGACAGAATGGGACGGGTGGCGTTAAACTGACGCGTCCTAAAGAGGCTATATTAGGTTGGCGTTCCGTTTCGTTTTGAAAGGTCACTTGACCTTCTATAATCGCAGCTGATAAATTCGAGAGACATGATTGAATCTAAATTCCTGACGTTAGGATTCTGGATAGGTGGAAATTCTTAGAAAAACTTGCCACACAAATCAGATATAAGGTATGAAACGTAAAAAAATAAATAATTATCCAAATTTGCTCTTTAAAAAAATATATATTTAAAATCGAAGGCTTACAAAGGCTACAGCCACGGAAGCTTGCATTTGCATAGGTGTTAATACGGCAAAATAGGCGACATTTGTTAAGGTGTAAATTATTGTTACTAAAGGAAGTCCAATGATAATGGATAGGGGTAAATCTCTAAATAAAAAAAATAATATAGGTTTTCATATACTAATACTCTCACATAAGGAGTCGTTGGTTCTTTGCAAGCAAGGATTCTAATATAAGTAGCCGCAATTTTTCTCGACTTTTCTTATTGGTACAGGGGCCATAACAACGGAACAGAATTTTGATAACTCTCCGAAACAATTTTCAACATGAATTAGTCTAATTTATATTATTAAACAGGGGGATTCATAAATTCCTAATTACAATTACTTACAAAATTTTGCAAAAAATTACAATTACAAATTCCTTTTTTTTTACCAAATAAGGAAAATTTAAATATCTTTATTCTTAATTTTAAAATTAATTTAACTAATAAGTTTAGTGAATGAAGGGTTGACCTTTTAAACTTTGAAAAATATTCGGCTTCCCAGAGTCGCCCCGGCATGCCATCCTCTACGCACCGCGCCCCGCTTAATATCGTCAAATATTTTTGAGAGCATAGAAATCAAAAATGCTTACAATTTCTGATGAAAAGAAAAATAGCTCAAGATCCTGGAAAAATTTTTAAAAAATGCTCGACTTATAGCCAGACGTAGTGTTAGGAAAATATTACTTAAGCGTCGAGATTTCGTCAATAGATGTTCAATCCTATGTGCCATTTATGCGCAAAATCTTTAGGATATCTATTTTTCTGGATAAAATATTAAGTTAGCCGTTTTTAAAAATTGGCTCAAATTGAGCCATTAGCCATTTAACAACACTAGCCAGACGTTCGCTTACAAATCCCTAATCATAAATTATAAAAAAACAAAATATTTAGGTTTATCAAAAAAAGATCATTCTACAAAAAAAAAGAGTTTTAATTAATAACCAACAATACGGATATGATTAAAGATGATTACAATGATAATTGTAAATTTACAATGAATATAATTTAAACGATTATTCTGTAAATTTAAAATGATATTAAAAGAAAATCTTATATAAATTATTCACAATCACCATAAGAACTTTTAACTTTTACTATGGTAGAACGTCATATGTTTACTGGCAGATAAAAATATGATCTTTAAGATTGCGACGTAGCTCCCTCGCATAAGAGCTTCAGGAGTTTACTCTCTGCTAATCACTCACTCAAATAATATCTGATTAATTTTCCTTCCCCTTCCACCAACTCCCTTGATTTAAATCCACCTGGATTTATCATGTGTGGGAGCCAATTTAAGACTTTCGTTTTTTTTATAAAGATAAACTAAGAACTTTTGAAATAACTTTAGACAAACTTGAAAAAAAAAATATCATGAGGTAAGGCCCATAATTTTGCGCTTCCGGCTATAGTCCGCCACAATGATTCCCGATCCCCCAATTAAAAAAGTATATATTTTAAGGATCTTGATTTTTTTTTTTATCAAATGATCTCATTCGCCCGAATTCTAAATAAACTGGAAGATACTGAGTTTCATATATACTTATGAAATTTTACATTTTAAAGAATGAGAGACGAATTTTGGAGTAATATAGTGATCTCAAAATGCCACGTTTTTTTTGTATGAGCCATTATTTAGCGTTTAAACTTGTAAAAAAAGTATCATTTAAAATATGCCTTTATTTTGGACTAATTATAATTTCAAGCCATAGCTTAAACAACGGCCAAATTTTGTAAAAAATTTTTTAATACATTAACGAAATCACGTGGTCAACTTCAACCTACTATATCACCCCCACCCCTTCCCCCTCCTTCACATACACACTCATAAGGCCATAAACGATATATGAAGACATCAATTTTTTAACGCTTATGACGTGCTTGGTAATTTATGAAAATCATAAGAGAGAGAAAAAAGTGCCACACTTGCCGAGCATTATCGTTGGCCTATATTTCTTACGTTTAGAGTATTCTTTTAAATACGTAAAATGAATGATATCATGAGAAATTTAAAATAAAATATCCTTTTTTATATGATATTTAATATAAAAATTTTATTTATAATTTTATACCTATTAGGATTTTTCAATTCTTCAATCACGTAATTTAGATTATTCCTGAATTTAAAAAAAAAAATAGATAAAAATAGAAATAATTAATTAATCCCGTTAAAAATCCAGCCTTGCATTATACTTAGTTAAACGGCCTGATTTGGGTCTATTTTTAAAAATGGACCGATTAATTTTAACCAAAATAATATTATGAAGCCTGGAGATTTTGCTCACAGATGGAAGATAGGTTTAGACCCCTATTGGCCAAATCTAGAAGCTTATTATAGTACTACTTTGTCCCAAAATCTCAAAAAATAGGGACGTTTATACAACCACTACCTCAATATTTTTTTAATAAGCCATATATTTCTATCCCGCAATCATAATGAAAATAAAATGTTTCATAAAGAGAGAAAAAATAAGGCACGATTAAAAATGACAAAATAACTGAGAATTGGTGAAAGATGATAAGGAGATTAAAGAAAATTCCTTCTAAAAAAAAGAGAAAATTAAGTATAATAAAATAAATATTTCATAAAGAGAGAAGAAAAAAAGGTACGGTTAAAAATGACAAAATAACTGAGAATTGGGGAGAGATGATAAGGAGATTAAAGAAAATTCCTTCTAAAAAAAAGAGAAAATTAAGTATTATACATAGGGCTCAAAAGAATAGAAAGAATAAAAAAATTAAGAAAAGATTATAAAAAATAGATTAAAAAATAGATTAAAAAATGAGATAAAATTTTTAAAAAAATTCTAGAAAATAAAATTTTTTTTTAGGTAGTCTTGTTAAGCGGCTCGATTTGAGCGGATTTATAAAAATGGCTAACTCTATATTTTAGCTGGAAAAAATATTGACTAAAACCCTTATTTCGCTAATAAGAATCTCCAAATCTTTGTGGCATCTATGCCACAAAATTCTTGAGAAAAGAAAAAAAGGAGTCAGCTGTTTTGGAGGAAAAAAAATCGGGTCAAACCGAATTATTTAATTAAAGGTCTGCATTGGGCGGGAGGGTTAAGGATATTTAAAATTTTTGTTCAAAAACAAACTAAAAAAAAATAATTTGTTTAAATGATCTATAACAATATTTCTTTTTTTTTATTGTATCAAATCGTTTTTTTTTTAAGTGAAGAACATTTACCTAACTATATTATACAATAAACACAACAATAAAACTTTTTTCTTATATTGGCAATTCCTGTAACTAGTGCTTCTTCCCAACGCGAATTTAGCGTTGCTGGAAGATTTTTAGAACAAAGAAGAACGTGTTTGAATCCAGAAAATGTCGTTTCATCATTATTTTTGCATTATAATTACATGTTTAAGTTTTACATTTATATTTTTTTCGTAAATATTCAATTTGATCAAATAATTTGTCCATATTTTACATTGGTTATTTTTTATACTTATATTAATTTTTTAAAATATAAACTTTTTGTAGAGGTGTGATGCTGAAATATTTTTATTAGATGTTTAAAAAAATGAAAGAATGACCATAATTAAATTTTATAAGCGGGCTTGGGTTAATTTTTTATAAATAATGGACGGGTGGGTAAAAAACTTTAGACAAATGAGTGGGGCGGGCGGGTATATTTTTTTTGAAAACTATGAGCGGGATGGGTGAGAGGGAAATTTTTTTTTAAACATTGGATGCCCAATGCAGACCTCTAACACCAATCCTTTTTTGATTTTAAGAAACTTTTTCTTTTATTGATAGGAACATTTTCCTTATCGATCACACTCTCCCCTTCTTTGAATGGGAAACACTGTATATTTCAAGATTTCAAAATATTCCCCCCCACCCCGAAACTGAAGGGATAGTTTTAATCGTTTAGCGGGGGTTTAAAATAGAGAAATGACTCGACTTATACTCATAACATAAATTAAATTCACGCCTTACCAACCGCCATACGCGAATAGTCCCGAGAACAATGCCGTAGGCAACCGTCTATAATTGTAATTGCCGCCTTCAAACATATTTTGAAATGGTTTCCCCTTGGCTATAAATATTTTATATATTATATATATATATATATGTATGTATGTTAGCGTTAATGTGTTTTTTTCCGGCAGAGTGTTATTTTTCCAACTTTGATTGATTTTTTTGAGCGCGTTTTTTTTTAAATTTAAAAAAATCTTGTTTGGAATACCTACCCCAATGGATTTCAGACAATTTTGTCATGCAATTTTTAAACTTATTATAATTAATATTAATTTTTCCGTGTATTCTTTTTATATAAATTAATAGGTATTCTAAACATGCTAGAATTACATTTCCGATAAAATCAGATTTTGAAAATTTCAAACTTTTATAGGAAAATATATTCTACCATTTTTGGAATAGAATTTTTGATATAATTAATATTAGTTTAAATTATAAATGGCTCAAAGGGTTAACTGCAAAATTGTCTACAATTTATAAGATTGGCATTCTAAACATTACTAGAATATATTTCCGGTAAAATTAGATTTTTAATATAAAAAAAAATTCGCTTAACAACACCGCCGGGAAAACAATGTTTTTTTTTTTAGAAAGAAAAAAAAAATATGGATATTTTACTTTCGATCAACTTCCATAATCCAGTCAATATGATGAAAGCTAATGCTAGCAATTTTCCGACCGTGAAAACGTCTTGTAATTTCATGGCTACTTTGACGCTCAAACAGTTAATGAAACTTAGCAACACTAAATTTAAACGCGAAAAATTATCTTACAATATATATATATAAATATAATTACGTAATCCGAACACGGCGATCAATTTGGCTACAGGAGTCAGAAGTAAATCATCGGGCGTGCAGAAGAATAATTGCGCCATGTAATACCCGAAAGCCCAGGAAATGATGGCGCTGGCTACGGGTCTAGTGACCAGTAAATTTACCCATAGGAATAGGAAAGCTGGCAGGGGTCCCATTATCTCGAGCATGTAAGCGTATTCCCCGCCACTCCGAGAAATGGTCGTGCCCAGTTCCGCGTAACACAGAGCTCCCAAAATGGATATCAAGCCGCAAACTAGCCATACGATTAGGCTGACTCCTACACTGCCCCCACTGTTATTGAAGACTACTGTGGGAGAGATGAATATGCCCGAACCGATGATGGAACCGACTATGATGTTTATGCCATTGAAAAGGGTGATATTTTTTTTGAGCTCTACCCTGTTCGAAGATATCTCAGGAGGAGTGATGATGTCCTGATTATGATTTTTAATCATTTATTCATTAAACGCAGATAGAATGATTTAATTTTAAAGGTATAATTGATTAAACTTTTAAGTTTATTTGTTTAATTAAATATTTTTTTAATAAATTACGTGGGGAAAAAATAAAATGCATAAATAAACTTTTTTTGGCGCAATAAATAAGAAAAAAAATAAATATCGAGCTTCGAGGCAGAATTATAAAATGAATCTAAACATAATTAATAAGATAAAAATTTTAATTCATTTTCGATTGGTTTAAAAAAAAGACATAAAAACGTGTAGACCAACCAATCAAAATCGAGGGTTTGTATTTATTGTATTTTTTAGGGAATAATGTCTTCTTTTAAAAAAAAAAATTTTCCCAAAAATATTTTAAATTTTAAAAATACTAAAATATATTAAATGAATTATGATAATTTTTTTTTGTTTATTTTTTATTTCATATACTTTTTATAAGAAATATGCATAAATTAAAAAAAAAAAGGGATTAATTATTATATTTATTTTTAAAGAGCTAAAATTTGCCTAAAGAAATTATGAAATATTAAAGATATATATATACATCAAAAACTTTTTAATTGCATTTACGTAATTTGCATAAGAAGGAATTGAATATAAATAAAGAAAAACTTAGAGTTAGGGGAGACCGGGGTTAAACAACAACTAGAGTTGTAAAAAAAATTTTTATCTACATAATATTGAATTACAAAATTTTTTTTAAACAAAATTGTGAATATTTTATGTATATGACCTATATTTACCTAAAAAATTATAATCTCCGTAAACACAAAAATATTTAAGTATAAACTCAATGTCAAGCTCGTAACCAGTTCGGGTTCTGTTTAAGATTTATAAAAAAAGGTGGGTTCGGTTCGGTTTCAGTTCAGGAAAATATTTTTGAACCCGGGTTTAGTTCCGGGTTCAGCTCGGGTTAAAAAATTAATTTTTTATTTTATTTATAGGCAGAATATAGTTAAAAAATACAAAGCAGTCATGTATCAATTTTAAAATTTTATTTAGACGTATTTCTTTAAATTAACAATATCCGAATATAATAATTTTTACTTTGACTTGTTCACTTTTATTTTCTCCTAATTAGTAATCTTTGAGAATTAGTCAAAATTAAAAATAAATGGCATAAATGAATTTATCGTTTAAAATTCAAATTATTAACTATTAATATTTGTACAATTATACAAATATCTCAGTATATGATTTAAACAATACACTTAACCCGGGTGAACCCGGGTTCAAATAAAATTTTTGGGTTCGGTTCGGGGTAGGTTCAGATTTTTCCCCAAAAACCCGGGATTTATACTCCGGGTTCGGGTTCGGTTCGAATCCTTGCTCGTAACCGGAAAAAATAAATCTAATAGTGCCCCCCCCTCTCACTTCCTTAGCAAAATCCTGGATACTTTATTATCAATTTCAACTTAATCTTTGGTTAAAATCTTAAACCATTTAATCTCGCATTTCATATCTTCTTATTCTATTCCAATTTTAAGGAGACTATAAAATTAACCTCTAGTCGTGATGCGCAGTGCTCCCAATTCTGGCAAAACATATGGAAAAAAAATAACTTTAAATGTTTGTGACTAAAAAATTAACCTAGAGTCGTGATGTGCAGTGCTCCCAATTCTGGCAAAACATATGGAAGAAAAAATAATAACTATAAATGTTATAAAAATTGTTAGTTATCGGAATCGGAGCTAGTTATAAACTTGGTATTATTAATTAGCTAAATTATGAAAAATAAATTATTATATTTTATATTGCATTTTCAATTGAATATAATATTATTTATATATAATCAGCCCCTATAAAATAATAATTACACAAAATCGCTCCATTTTGCGCCCATTTTTTAAATGAACAGCTGACTCTGTATTTTAGCCAGAGAAAATAAAATATTGTTTTAGGCTTCGAGATTTCGTTAATAAGATATCCAACCTCCAAACCCTTCCGACAAATAATCGAGTCCATTAACAGTAAGTGATTAAAATAACATTATGATTCCTAAATTTAATTCAAACAAAAAATTGGTTATAAAATTTTTAGTATTTTCTTAGAATCGAGGTTACTAAGTCCAGGTATAACCGCCTTAACGTAGAATTAACCGTTACTTCAGGGTAACAAATAATATTTATAAAATTTCAACGCCCAAATAAATATCCAAATTATTTGATCAAACTATAACAACACTTATAAAAACATTTTCTGTCAGGAATTTATATGACCATCAACATCTCCATAAAGTGACCGGTTATTAGCCATCATTGTGTGGTCACTATAAAAACTCACCTTATCAGATTTAATTTCTTAGATCACGAATTTCTAATACAAATTATTTCATCACCCTATAAACTTCAGACAATTTTGAAACGAACTTTTGTACCATCCATCAAAGTTATAAAATTTTTAGTTTCCTAGTAGTACCACTAAAAATATGGAAATCAATAAATTGCCAGAACACACATTGGGGGAGGGGGTTGGGTGGCTGACTGACGTTCCTATTCCTTCTTCCTTAATAAATAATTTATGAAATATAAAAAAAAATTTGTTTTGACTGTTTTATGAATTTATACATATCATATAATATTTTTTTTTCTTTTTAAAAAATATAAAAGTTTGCTTGCTACGTAGTCACCCTCACCGTTTGAATTTTGAAGAAGTTGTATTTAATAATTTATGGTATAGTGTAATAGGCCTATTCAAAAATAATTGAATATTCGATTCGATTCGAATAATTCGAATCTAATCGAATGATTACGAATACGAATAATAAATTATTTGTTTTATCTGAATACGAATAATCATTTATTCGATTCGAATAAAACGAATTATTCGAATAAAACGAATTTTTCGAATAAAACGAATTATTCGTAATATTTAATAAATTGTTTAATAAATCTAACATTTGTCATTTCTATTTGTTGACCTGCCAATCTGACAGGTGATGTGTTGGTGTTTATAAAGATTCTAGCACAAATTTAAAAATTTCTGAAGTGAGAATTTAAATTTTTATTTGCCACATTTTTTGAATCTCACGAAAAGTTTATTTTTTGAATCTCATAATAAATTATATTAAAAATTAAACAAACCAGAGGTATATAAAAATATATTACATCTCTAACAATAATTATTGTTAGCTAACCTAATTATGTTAGAGGAGAATGCTTCTGATGAAATTATGCTTGATGTTGAAGATGAGAAAATTTCCTCACAAAAGAGAGCAATCATATGGGATCAATATCAAATCCTTAAAGAAGGTGAAAAGGCTTCTTGCAATCATTGCAAGAGTATTATAAAATGTAAAGGCAAAACAACCTCTCCTCTTATTAATTATTATAATAGGTTTCATTCACACCTTAGTAAAAAAAATAATAAAATTGACATATTTTTAAAGTCTACACCAAATTCTTCAAAAAAAAATTAATTTTAAGAATAATTTATTAAAATTATTGATAAATAATAATATACCTTTTTAAATTATTAATTCAAATGATTTTAAAAATTTATAAGTGATCTTGATTGTTCTGTAAAATCATTATGCTCCAATACTTTTAAATTGCACATGTATAATATATTTGCAGATAAAGAACAGTTGGTAAAGGAAAAATATATAAAAATAAAAGTCAGTTTAATTTTTCATCTGACATTTGGACTAGCAACACAGGTTCCTTTTTTAAGGCTAACAGCCCATTTTATTGATGATAATTTTAAAATAAATAACATAATTTTGGATGTCAGTCCAAATGAAACACATTCAAGTGAAAATATATTTAAAGCCTTTGTTAAAATAATTAAAATTTATAATTTTGAGAATAAAAATTTTTATATAACTTTTAGATAATGCAACTAATAATAAAACATTTATTATTACATTTTCTTTTAAATATCCATTAATAAAAATAGGGCACATCCGATGCTTTGCCCATGTAATTATATCCAAAGAAATTTTAAAAATTTTAGATCCTTCAATTCTAAAACTAAGAAACATTATTAGAATGATTCGTATATGGTGGAAGGCAAATGCATATCGGATCCCCATGCTCTCGAATATAAGGAAGAAAATAAAAGAGAAACTCTTTGCCTTAAAAATTGGCTTAAATTATAAAATAAATTAATAATATACATTTTAATTTTGTTTATAACTTGATTATATATTATTTTTTATCAGATTATTGATTTCATATTATTATAATTTTAAAATCAAATTTGTAATAAAAAAGTTTGTCAATATATTTGAGTATGATTTATTTTATTAAAAAAATTAATTCAAATTAATCGAAATATTCGAATAATTTGAATCGAATACAAATAGTAGATTTTATTATTCGAACGAATTCAAATATTAAATATTCGATTCGTTTAAACGAATCGAATATGAATAATGCACTATTCGATTCGAATTCGTTTTTGAATAGGCCTAGGTAACATTTTTGATTTTATTTTATAAAAATTTAATAAATATAATTGTAAATAAAATAGTTTTTTTTAAAATAAACATTCATAAATTTTTTTTTTAATTGTTAACTGAATTTTAATTAATTTTAAAGTGTTTGTTTGTTACCAATTTTATCAAATTTTACTTCAGATTTCTCGTCACATTTTTTTTTTGTTATGCTGTAGAAACGTTCAAATAAACATAATAAATTTTTTAATATTAGACATATAAAAAATACCTTATGCTTAAAAATTTATGAATTAGATTACCTCAAAAAACAAAATATTCAATAAACAAGGTTTCAAATTTTTTAACCATTTGCTCTGACAGTTTTGCCACTGAAAATATAAATATTTTTAATAAATTTTATTATATAAAATTTCTATTTTTTTTTACAATAATGGGAAATTTTTAAAATATAATTTCATATGAATTAATATAATTTAATTTTAAAATATAATAAATATAATTTTCATTTGTGAACATTTATTTAATTTTTAGATCTGGCAATTTTATATATATTTTTATAAAAAAAAATGATTTCAAACTCTACAGAAATTATTCT